CTGGACTTCTGGCAGTTCTCTGCTGATGTGCTGTTCTAATCGTTTTTGGATGATCATCCAAGCAGAAGTTTGAAGGGATGCTTATTTACTCAGTCCGAAATTGGTGAATTTTTCCAATAATTGAATTACGTCACCTCAGTGCTAAATTTTTTAAAACATTAACTATTTTTGAAAGAACTCTTTCTTCTTATAGATTATTGTAAATCCATTGTTCACTCTATGATGTGAAATGGTAAACTGATGATCCTAAGTTGGGCAGAAAAGGGCCTGTCTGTAATCACTGTCCTCTGGACCAGACTCTGAGACCTGTGGTGTTTTCTTCCCTAGTGTCTACATGGATAAGCATGAGCATTTGTTCAGCCATTAATCATGTTCCTAAGGATACTTCCTAGCAGTTGGAGGCAAGGATTCTGAGGCTCCATCTAACATACTTTGGACATGTTGTAAGGAGGGACCAGTCCTTGGAGAGGGACATCATGCTTTGGAGGGTGGAGAGACAGAGCCGGAGGTGTCTATGAGGTGGATTGATTCAGTGACTGGGGTAATCGGGATGGCTGTATCGGAGACAGTGCGATTTGGCACAGGACAGGGCAGAGTTTAGGGCTGTTGTACTTAGGGTCGCTATGAGTTCAAGTGACTCAACGGCATATAACAACAACAACATCATGGATACTTACTATGTGCCAGTCCTGTTGTAAGGCTTGGAATACCAAAGGGAACACAACAGATAATATCTGTGCTTGTAGAACATGAACTTTAATAATAAAGTTACATAACTTACTGTATCTTTCTGTGATTCTATTTACTGTGTATAAATAAATTACAACTAAATGTTTATACTCAGTCCTGTATATGAATGTTTATAGCAATTTTTTTTCAACAGAGGTTTTGGATGTTTATAGCAATTTTATAATTTCCAGAAGCTAAATTATTCTTTAATGTGTGAATGAGTTCATGGTATAAAATACAGTGGAAAACTACTCAGCAACTTAAAAAAAATGAAGTATACAGATTGATGAACTTATAGGCATTACACTAAATGAAAGAAACTAACCTTAAGAGATCATCAATTATGTGATTTCAACTTGGACTTTGCTGGGAGATCTGCAAGGACAGCAGAGGCAGTTCCAGGCCGGGGTTTGTGACCCAGCCTTCCTAACCCTGTCTGCTACAACTGCAGGTACCGACTACATTTCTATGACATTCTAAGAAAGGCAAACACTACAGATATAATCAGTGATTACTAGAGATTAATAATGTGGAAAGAGTTTGACTACAAAGAGAGAGAATAATGAAATTTTTTTGAATGGTGCAATTGCCCTGTATTTAAATTATAGTTGTAAATCGTGGTTGCAATTTCATGTATATTTCAAAACCCCCAATTCATTGCTGTAGAGTCTGTTTGTGTTAAAACACTTAGAAACACACACAAA